CATCAAATGCAGCTTCGTTAAAATAAAATCAGCACTACCCGGCGGGAAAAAGGGTTGGTTCAGCAGGCAAATTGTTGCTTTCTTTACTGCTTGTGTCTTTTTTTCTGGGATCTCTCTCAATATTTTCATTCGCAAGTTTCTGCTAAAGCACAAAGCAGCAGCATATCTCTCTTGTTTCCTGGTTGGTTGCTTGGTTGACGTTGCTGAGATTTGTTAAAGCTCGAGATCTGCTGTTTTCTGTGCAATTGATAGGGATACGACGACAATTTGATTTACTGCTGCTTTTGGGACACTACACTTTGATGCCTGGTTTCTTGTTTCACAGCTTAAATCACAAGAAAGAATTATACCAGTGACAACACTGCTTGGCGTGAACTTCTTCTGCATGCAGAGATAGACAGCAAAAATGGATGAGTGAACTAGTAAAAGAAACTGAGATGGAGTGACCTAGTAAATTCAGAGTGCATTTTTACTCTTTTAGCAAGAAAATGTTTCTTTCTTTTGTGTAACAACTTCATATGTTGTGATTATTTACGAAACATTGCCCGGGATCTGTGTGCCTCCTATAATTTTTCTCTGGTCACTACTGTTTTTGCCACAAAATTCCTTTGCTTTACTCAAAGGAGAAAAGACAACGGAAGCATCACTTTCTCTCTAGGTGGCAAACATGTACCAACCCTCCTCACTTCAGGCTACACAGCACATGATTTTTTTTGTACAGTGTAACATTGGGCAACAAACACGGAGAGAGAAAGTTGAAATCCTGGGTGCATGTGAGCCGCACCCCCACACTATTTTTTAAATTTTCAGGCTAGGTGAGTTTTTTTTCTCGAGGGTACACCAAAGGCGTACCATAGCTTTATAGGAGAAAGAAAATATGTACAAGAGGGTTACACAGTGGCAAGTTAGAGATCACGAAGGATCCTAACATAGCCAGACCTCCACTCCGATAGACTAACACAAAGGCTAGGTGAGTTTTCACCACCTGATTTTTCGTTCAAAGTGGAGGACCGTTACGTACTATCAATCGCAACATGCATGCAGGGAGCATTGAGCAGTGCGCGGCAATGCTACACTCACGGGGGTTCACGGGGAGTTTATGGGGTTGATTAAGTATTAATGGTCAGGATTTAATTAAGGTTGGCAGGCCCCACAGTAAAAATAGGGGGAGGGGGGCAAATTAGGAGATGGCACGTAGCCCACTCTGTGAAGGTCCGTTGAAGGCAGCCCGTGAGTCTAGTATTATCATGCTCAGTGGGTGTGGGCGACGCTGTCGGAGCAAGTCAGCCACCCATCATCAACACAACGGAGTTCAACAAGAAGACGGACGTGCCAGAGAACCGTGTCATCGCGATAGAGCTTTAGGGTGCGGAGGTTCTCCATGCCTTGGAACACAACCCAGTTCCAATGCTTACATGGGAGCCAGCAGCAAAGTAGGAGGGGCGGGCTGGCGGGGCAACCACACATTACATTAACTAATTAGCCCCAGGAAGGTGGTAGGGGCGGATCTGGCCTCTCTCGCTCCCCACCATCGCCCCACTCTGCATCGCGCCCCCTCCCCCCGGACGACGGCTGCCCCCTCCGGCAAGGTTGCGGTTGTTGGGGAACGTAGCATGCAATTTTAAAAAAATTCCTACGATCACGCAAGATCTATCTAGGAGATGCATAGCAACGAGAGGGGGAGAGTGTGTCCACGTACCCTCTTAGACCGAAAGCGGAAGCGTTAGTTAACGCGGTTGATGTAGTTGAACGTCTTCACGATCCAACCGATCCAAGTACCGAACATACGGCACCTCCGTGTTCAGCACACGTTCATCTCGATGACGTCCCTCGAACTCTTGATCCAGTAGAGGATCGAGGGAGAGTTCCGTCAGCACGACGGCGTGGTTACGGTGTTGATGATGTGATCCGCGCAGGGCTTCGCCTAAGCACTACGACGCTATGACCGGAGGCGTAAACTGTGGAAGGGGGCACCGCACACGGCAAAGAACAATTAATCTCTCTTTGGGGTGCCCCCTGCCCACGTATAGAAAGGAGGAGAGGGAGGAGGCCGGCGGCCTAGAGGGGCGCGCCAAGGAGGAGTCCAACTAGGATTCCCAATCCTAGGTAGTCTCCCTTTCCTATTCCAAGAAGGGGAAAGAGGGAAGGAGAGGGAGAGGGAGAGGGAAAGAGGGGGCCGTGCCTCCTCCCCCTTGTCCAATTCGGACTCCCTTGGGGAGGGGGGGGGGGGCGCCACCCTGCGGGCTGCCCTCTCCTACTCCCTTATGGCCCATTAAGGCCCATAACTTCCCCGGGGGGTTCCGGTAACCCCTCGGTTCCCCGATAAATATCTGAAACGTCCCGAAACCATTCTGGTATCTGAATACCTTCGTCCAATATATCAATCTTTATGTCTCGACCATTTCAAGACTCCTCGTCATGTCTGTGATCTCATCCGGGACTCCGAACAAACTTCGGTCACCAAACACACATAACTCATAATACAAATCATCATCAAACGTTAAGCGTGCGGACCATATGGGTTCGAGGACTATGTAGACATGATCGAGACACATCTACGATCCATAACCAATAGCGGAACCTGGATGCTCATATTGGCTCCTACATATTCTATGAAGATCTTTATCGGTCAAACCGCACAACAACATACGTTGTTCCCTTTGTCATCGGTATGTTACTTGCCCGAGATTCGATCGTCGGTATCATTATACCTAGTTCAATCTCGTCACCGGCAAGTCTCTTTACTTGTTCGTAATGCTTCATCCTGCAACTAACTCATTAGTTACATTGCTTGCAAGGCTTATAGTGATGAGCGTTATCGAGAGGGCCCAGAGATACCTCTCCGATACACGGAGTGACAAATCCTAATCTCGATCTATGCCAACCCAACAAACACCTTGGAGACACCTGTAGAGCATCTTTATAATCACTCAGTTACATTGTGACGTTTGATAGCACACAAGGTGTTCCTCCAGTATTCGGGAGTTACATAATCTCATAGTTAGAGGAACATGTATAAGTCAAGAAGAAAGCACTAACAATAAAATTGTAACGGTCATAATGCTAAGCTAACGGATGGGTCTTGTCCATCGCATCATTCTCTAATGATGTGATCCCGTTCGTCAAATGACAACACATGTTTATGGTTAGGAAACATAAGCATCTTTGATTAACGAGCTAGTCAAGTAGAGGCATACTACAGACACTATGTATTGTCTATGTATTCACACATGTACTAAGTTTCCGGTTAATACAATTCTAGCATGAATAATAAATATTTAGCATGATATAAGGAAATATAAATAACAACTTTATTATTGCCTCTAGGGCATATTTCCTTCAGTCTCCCACTTGCACTAGAGTCAATATTCTAGATTACAATGTAATGATTCTAACACCCATGGAGTCTTGGTGCTGATCATGTTTTGCTCGGGGAAGAGGCTTTGTCATTCTGCAACATTCAGATCCGTATGTATCTTGCAAATCTCTATGTCTCCCTCCCGACTTGATGGCAGATGGAATTGAAGCGTCTCTTGATGTGTTTGGTTCTCTTGTGAAATCTGGATTCCTTTGCCAAGGCAATTGCTCAAGTATTGTCACAAAAGATTTTCATTGAACACGATGCACTAGGTATTACACCAAGATCGGATATGAACTCCTTCATTTGCTGCTTCCGAAGAAGCTATGTACTCCGCTTCACACGTAGATCCCGCCACGACGCTCTGCTTGGAACTGCACCAACTAACAGCTCCACCATTCAATATAAATACGTATCTGGTTTGCGACTTAGAGTCATCTGGATCAGTGTCAAAGATTGCATCGACGTAACCATTTACGACAAGCTCTTTGTCACCTCCATAAACGAGAAACATATCCTTAGTCCTTTTTAGGTATTTCAGGATGTTCTTGACTGCTGTCCAGTGATCCACTCCTGGATTACTTTGGTACCTCCCTGCTATACTTATAGCAGGGCACACATCAGGTCTGGTACACAGCATTGCATACATGATAAACCTA